CAGCTGCATGGAGAGGCTCCTGGAGAGGAGAACTGGGGTGCCCGCCCCAACTCCCAGCCCCAGATGACCGTCCCAGCAGAGTTCCCAGCCCAGATCCAGTGTCAACTTGCAAGACATATGAGTGAGCCGTCTTGGAAGTGGATCCCCCTGGCCTGGTAGAGCTGCTCCAGCTGACAAGGAGAAATAGAGACAAGCTATTCCCTCCAAGCCTTGTTCATATTGCAAAATCATGAGCAATGAATGATTGCTGTGTCAAGCCTCTAAGTTTGGGGTGGTTTGTTATACAGCCATAGCTCACTGAAACCAGCAGCTACTGTTATTGACCAGCTCTTCTGTGTCTTATTGAGGACACTGTGCTCGATAATGCTCTAAGCATTAACTTGTTAACTTCTCACGTCAACCTCGTTAGAGAAGGATTTTTAGACGAGGAAGCCAAGGCTTGGAGAAATTAAATGACCCCATGCCAGGGCATATGGCCAGTAAGTAAGAAGCAGGCTGACTCCAAAGATCTGGCACTTCTTTGCAAGGAGCCCAGCTCCCGGCCACAACCAACGTGTGATCTTTCAGGCCTGGCCACCAGCCATTATGAATGCTTTATGTGGCCAACTTCATGGGGGATGCTGCCCTCCCCACGGCAGACTCGGGGAACAGCCGGTGCACTGTAATCTCTGGAGGGAGTTGCAGTCAAGGAGGCAGGCCCCCTAGGCTGGCTATAGCCCAGCTGCCTCCGTTTGGAGGCCTCTTTATTGGGGTCTGTCAACCAAATCCTTCTCCAGGTGCCTTTGCCAAGACCTCCTCATGGATCGAGAGGAATGGAGACTCAGTACTCAGTACTCTGACTCAGTACTCAGTACTTTTCCACTCCTTGCCCTTCCCCGTCTCGTTCTCCCAACACACACGCAAAAGTCTATAAAACGGCAGGAGCCTTTTGCTGGGGTTCCCTCAGCAGCAAAATGATCCCCATCTGCCACACATCTGACCCTGAGCTGGCCCTGTCCCGTGGGGAAAATGGAACCCTGGGGGAGATGACACTGTCTCCTCTTGCTTATACCATTGCAGTAAGTGATTAAAGGCTTGACTGCTGCTCTCATTTTGGCTTGTTGTCTTAATGGACTACCGTGACACGTGGCAGCTCAGCTGGTGACCACTTGCTCAAGCTGCCTCTTTCAGAGCACGTGTAACAAGAGCCTCCCGGCCTCCAGCTCTTCCCCGGACTGGCCTTGGTTCCCATGGCCCAGTCTACCTCAAATCCTTCCTACTCTCTGCTCCCTGTGCCCTGCAACCCTCTCTTCTGGGGTCACATCTTTTGTAATCTGGCTCAAACCACTTTTGACAAAGCTCCCATTGTGACCTCAAGAAAAGACGCACTCGTCACCCCTCGAGTAAGAGATGCTGTGATAGTGATGACAGCAGCCAGTATTTACTGAGCATATGCTATATCCTGGGCACATGCTAAGAGTGTACATACATGATCTCATGAACTGAGTTAACATACAGTCCTTAGAACAGTGTCTGCACATAGCGAGTCCTCAATAAATGGTAGCTATTTCTATCGAATAGCACTTCATCACACCCCTGTTAAGGAGGGACTATTGGGGCCGGCACCATGGCCTAGGGGTTAAGTTCAGCATGCTCCACTTCAGCGGCCCAGGTTCAGTTCCCAGGTGTGGACCTATACCACTTGTCAGTACCCATGCTGTGGCGGCGTCCCACATACAAAATAGAGGAAGACTGGCACAGTTGTTAGCTCAGGGTGAATCTTCCTCAGCAAAAAAAAAAGGAGGACTATTATTCATCAACTCCATTTTAGAACTGAGAAAACTAAGGCCTAGAAAAGCTAAGGACTCAGTGAATAAGTGGTCCAATCTCAAGCCCACACCTTCCCGAGCCTGGGGCTTTCTACGAGGCAGCACTGCCTCTTGGACGTGCTGTGCAACTCGATTGAATAGGAAACAGCTGGGTAAAATACAGTTAGCAAAGCATATGTTTTTGAAAGACTTCCACCAAAATGGTTTAAAATGTAAAAGGTTTCAATACTTGAAGTAGTAAGCTTCGGTAGCTTGGAGGATTTCCGTTATTTCAAACTCCACATTTCAGGAAAGACTCGGAAAAATCACCCCAATCTATGTGACAGTTCTCCACCGGCACTGTCAAGGTGCGGTGCATTTAATTCTGTTAAGGCACCCTTTTCCCTCTTACTATGAATGAGTCCAGAGCCCATAGCAAGTAGGAGAGGTCACTGTGTTCTCTTTCAAATGCCAAGAACAGTAACAAAAGTTGAGACCTAAGCCTCCTCCTTTGACTTAGAAATTCCTCAAGGTCAGGCACAAGTTATCTCTAGGCAAATTCACATCTCACTGGCAGCAAGGTCAGAGTAGTTAAGAGTTAAGAACAGTAATTAAGAGCATGGGCCACCCCAGGGAGTAAGGTAGATATATGACTTTAGGCAAATGGTTTAACCTCTCTGATCCTCAGTGTCCTCGTCTGCAAACTGAGAACAATATTAGTACCTAATTCATAGGGCTGTTGCAGGGAGTCAATGAGGTAATGCTTATAAGGCCTGGACAGAGCAGGGACTCATTACCTGTCAGTTTTCTTTTTTTTTTTTTTTTTGTGAGGAAGATCAGCCCTGAGCTAACATCTGTCACCAATCCTCCTCTTTTCTCTGAGGAAGACTGGCCCTGGGCTAACATCCGTGCCCATCTTCCTCCACTTTATATGGGACGCCGCCACAGCATGGCTTGACAAGTGGTGCATCGGTGTGCCACCGGGATCCGAGCCCCGGGCCACTGCAGCGGAGTGCACACACTTAACCCCTATGCCACTGGGCCAGCCCCCTGTCAGTTTTTATTACTACTAAATACTGGCGAGTGATAACCATGTCCAGGAAGGCTGGGATCCGCCCAGAAGGCAGGCCAATCTTAAGTGAGAATCTCTGCTTGGCTGGACTTCTCAACTGTACAGCAGAAACTCCTGAGAACCAGTCCTCCCTGGGGCTTGATCCTGAATCTAGCTGAGTTTAAGTCTCCCAGTTTCTGAGCCAAAGTTCTTGACCTTCAAGAAATACCAGAATCACCCAGAGAGCTTGCTTACAACGCATATTCTTAGAGCTCTCCCTCCAAGAGTCTCCTCTAGGTTTCGGGTCAGGCCAGCGAATGAGTATGTTTAATAAACACTCCAGGTAATTCTCATTCTGAGTCTAAAATATTGCCCTAAACCTAGGCAGACTTTTTCTGTCAAGGGCCAGAAAGCAAATACTTTTGGCTTTGTGGGCCAAAAGTCTCTGTCACATCTACTCAACTCTGCTATTGTAGCACAAAAACAGCCAAAGACATTAAGTAAATGAAGGCGTGTGGCTGTGTTCCAATAAAACTTTATTTACAAAGACAGGTGGTGGGCCAGATTTGAGCTGGGGGCCATAGTGTGCCAGCCCCTGCTCTCTGCCAACCCAGAACTCTTCTATATGTAACCAAGAAAGACACAGACGTGTATAAAAAAGTGATATTTCTTTAATTTAAAATTATGACCTGGAAAGAATCAGTCAGTTTAAGTGACTCAGGCTTCCTCTTTATACCCCATGGGAACAGACACAATATTGGCTCAGTTTGCCAACCCCAGAGAAAAACCAAACCAAGTCACAAATCCTCAGGAAGCCCCTGCAGCAACCCTCTGGAGCCATCAGGCTCCATGGAACGGGGGTGTCCAGGCTGCCAGGGGCTGCTGCTTTCCAGCCGCCTTGAGACAGGCTTTCCTCCCACCACCCGACGCCCTCACCGGCCTGATTCCTCTCCATTGCTCCGTAGCTGGTACTGCACGCGTCCCCCACAGAGAGGCTGGTGGTCCAGCAGTCACCTCCCAACCATCTTTGGGGGCATCTTCCCATGATTGCAACAGTGAAGCTGAGCAATTCTAAACATACGTGCCCAGAAAGGCAGCACCTTCATGTTTAGCCGAGATCCAGAGCCTCGAGTTGTAACCATCGGTCACGTGTGGCCAAGGCACCAGCAGCAAATGGCTAACGTGGGAAATGATCTGGGAAGATGCAATGATCTTGGTAATCGACGGCGATTCTGAAAATGAAACAGACACATGCCATCTGGGGTAAGCTCCCTGCAAACAAGGAGAGATAGTCCAAACGGAACAGGGAACACCACCTCCTTCAGCACTCCGAGGTGTGTCTACTCTTCCCAGAGCACAGAAGTCCAAGGTCCCACTTCTTAGGGCGGCTTCAACTCTCCACCTCAGATATTCAGGGCCAATCAGGCCTTCAGATTCCCCCAGCCAGTCAGTAGGGTCTCTCGAGAACACAAGGCGCTGAGGAACGTGTGAAGGGAGTCCAGGTGCGATGCTGAGCAAGAGTTTTTTGCACTGATTTTGGAAATGTGCAGTCGGTAGAGAGGAAAGGAGGAAGGGTGTGGCCAGAGCTGCCCTCGGATCTCCTGGAGGCCTTCCCAGGAGAGGTTCACTACCGAATAAATACAACTGGCTTGAAGCAAGCCTTCTGGAAGGAGCCAACAGGTCACCTCAGACCCACTGCAGTGGGCCAACAAGTCTCCACACTGGTTTGCTTTCTCAAAAATTGACAGCACCCAAAGCCTGATGCTTGACCTGAGTCAAAAGCTGTCGGGACAAACTGCCAAAAGGCTGCCCGGGGATGCAGTGGAAGACCAGATGGCGGCCGAGCTGTCCCCACCACACACAGCATTCCTGGGCCCGGTGGGCTGTGTCCTGGGTATATTGCAGGGGCAGCCCGGGGCACTAACAAGGGACCCTGCTGTGCCTGGGGCGTGGTGGGGTAGGGAGAGAGCTCGGCATAGTCCCCTGAGAACTGAGGCACAGTGAGAAGGAGAAGAAGGTGGGGTTCCTCCTCAGGCCCAGTCACTCTGCCTCCCAAGGGAGGAAGAAGATATTATTGTGCTACTGCCAGCACCGCTGACATTATCTTACTCAAGAGGATGGCACCTGCCAGGGGGGCACTGCAGCACACACTCCTGGCTGTGACACGACCCCAGTGAGAGCCTTCCTTACAGTTGTTCTAGACCGAGCCTGGGTCACGTCACAAGCCCTGGCTCATGACACCACATATCCCATCACGAGCACCTGACCCTCCACCCAACCAATCTTCGGGTTCTTAGCAAGGCAGCTCAAGCGGTGGGGGTAAGAGAGTGGGGTCCCAGGAGCTCCACAAGCTCTTCCCAGTCTTCTTCACTTCTCAGAAACAGTGGATCCCTAAATGTCTACCAAAGAGGGAGCTGTCCACATGGGTGGCCCTAGCCTAAGGCCAATCACAGAACCCACTTACAAGACCACTGCGGTGTCATCCAATCACAGGAGAAGGCTGGCCTGACCCCTGCCCTCACTGGATGATGCTGTCCGGCTGCCCATTCTGGGCCACCTGTCCAGGGTCAGAGGCAGGGGCGGGGCTGGGCGTGTTGCTCTGCAGGTAGCGGCGGAAATCTTTGATCATGGGCCGGAGGACCTGGATGAGGACGCTCAGGGCCGCCTGGGTGCCCTCCATGGCCTGAGCCTGGCGCTCCTGGGCGCAGGCCTGCACTTCCTGGGAGCGGCGGATCATCTGCAGCAGGTCGTTCTGCTGCTCCAGGTGCTGGGCGATCTCCTTCACATGCAGGTTGGTGACCCGCTGCTCCTGGATCAGCTTGGCCGAGTTGAGGGCGATGCGGCTCTTGAGTGCCTGTGGCTTGACGGAGGTGTCAGCGTGCTGGGCCATCATCTCCACGGGGGCCTCGGCCGGCAGGGGCGGGGGCGCCTCCGCCGTACAGTACTCTACCACCCCCTCCTCCAGCGTGTGATAGGTGGTCTCTGTGGGGACTGTGGGGAAGAAAGAGCAAAGGCAGCAACAGGTCACTTTCTAGAAAGAGTGAAGCTGGCCATGTGGGGTGAGGAGGAGGCCATTAAGCCCTATTCTGGGGAATTCAGGCCTCCCTTGGCTTTATAGCTACTCATGTATAAATCTAGAATCTGAGGGGTTTAGAATCTTAATCTACTTCGTAACCAAAGAGCCAGCCTAGATCTGCCAAAAGCAAAGATGCCAATAATAAGACCAGCAAAAAACTTAAGAGACCTACTATGTGCCAGGCACTGTGCTAAGCCCTCTGTACTCATTAGCTCCACAAATTTTTTTTTTTTTTAAGATTTTATTTATTATTTTATTTTTTCCCCCCAAAGCCCCAGTAGATAGTTGTATGTCATAGCTCCACATCCTTCTAGTTGCTGTATGTGGGACTCAGCCTCAGGATGGATGGAGAAGTGGTGCCTCGATGCGCACCCGGGATCCGAACCCGGGCCACCAGCATTGCAGCGCGCGCACTTAACCACCAAGCCACAGGGCCGGCCTCCACAAATTCTTAAAATGACCACAAGAGGTAGGTATTGTCATGTTCACTTTCAGAGACAAGGAAACAGATGCAGAAACACGGTCATGTTCACTTTCAGAGACAAGGAAACAGATGCAGAAACACGGAGTGACTTGCCTAAGGTCACATAGCTTCTTCAGCAGGTCTAGGAAGCAAACCCAGGTCTCCCTAACACCAAAGTCCGATGTGCTGGTAACCAGCCCCCTGGGCTGCTTCTGCCTAATAAAGGCAGGGTCACACGCTCCCTGTAATGCCAGCACACAGCAGGCCTCTTGGGTGTGACTCTACATGAGCTGTTCGCAGCCACACTAGTCCTACCTCCTCTGGTGCTTTCCTGACTTTCATGTCTGTTATGGCCAAGCAGGTGGGAGTGGCAGAGCTCAAGTGCCCAATAAATGCCTATCTCCTTGATCACCTGGGTCAATGGAATACCTAAAGGTCCTCCCTGTTCCAGAACAGTAACTGATATAGACTAGTGCTTGATCCCCTTTCCCACCTCAATACCCTTGAGAACTATGACACTGTGGGGAGATGGCCCTCACATACACCCAGTCCTCTCAAGCCCCATTGAGAATCACTGATTGATACAGTTCATAGCCTGTCCCAAGAGGCAGTTAACAGTCACTGGTGCAAACCCTTATCTGAACTAACAGTCCAACCAAAGCAAGTTCTGTTGTTATTCACAGCTGAGAACCTTTGAAGGGATTCTAGGTGGGCTGTTGGGGGCTCCACGCACGTGGGAAAGGTCAGTCTTCTCCACCCTTCAATGCCAACATCACTTGTGTGTCCCCACCCCCACCAGGAAGCCTCCCTTCCTCTTCTGAGCCCTTATGTTCTCCCAACTGACAGAGCAGTTATCCATATATGTGTCTTATCTGTCCTACTAGAATATAACTGGCCTATATTTTAGACACTTTGGTAATCCCAGGGCCAAGCACAGAGTTTGGCACAGAATAACTGCTATAATGTTTGAGGAATGAATGAATGAGTAGATTTAACACCAGGAACCCTGAGGTTCCTGAGCAGTGCCTGACGAATGTTCACTGCACTGAAAACTCAGAATGTTTTTGTTCAGAATCAATGTCTTACTTGGGCATTATTATTCCCATCTATCTATTCATTCAATAAGTATGTCCTGACTGCCTATGTGCCAGGCCCTGTGATAAGTCCTGTGGGGATACAGACACGGTCTCTATCTTCAAGGACCACACAGTTCAGTCATGGACATGAATGGTGGCAAATCTCAGTCGAGAGCAATCCAGTCTCAAGAAGTCCAGACTGTGTGCTGAGGAAGTCCCAGAGAGAACAAGATCACTTCTGACTGGGGAGCTCTTGGAAGGCCTGACGGTCTTCTAAGACTCCCATCTGACCTTTGACCCTTGGCAGCCAACCTTCCCCAGGCTGCCCCAGCTCCTGCTGGCCCTTCCCATTTATGCACGCCGAACTGGGCAGGAGAGGTCACTCACTCTGTGTCAGGGTGACCGTGGCTGCGGCTGCAGTGGCCGTGGGTCCGAGGGCCACAGGATGGATCTCTGTGGTACTGGGCAGGCTGATGATGGTGGCCTCGCCCAGCAGGTTGCAGATGCGCTGTTGCATGGGGGTGAGCAGTACAGGGGCTACAGCTGGGCCACCGCCACCACTGCCACCACCTGTCCCAGGCCCACCAGCTCCGTCCTCCTCAGTGGACCCTGGGGCCTCGCCACCCTCCACGGCCGCCCGGACCTGGGCAACCTTTCGGCGGACCTCTGTCTTGAGGTCAGACCACTTCTTCTTGACTTCAGGCAGCTCCCTGCGGCAGGTGGCCACAGCGTTGACCCTTCTCAGAATGCCGTGCCAGGCCGCGCTCTTGGCAGCTAGAGGGACCCCGGCGTTGAAGTGGTTCACCAGTAGGTGCTTCTTCAGTTCCAGCTCCTCCACGATGATCTCTACCTCTCGCTCAGAGAAGTTCATCTTCCTCTTCTTGGCTGGGACGGCCATGGCCTCTCCTGACCCCTCCTTGTAAAGAAATTATAATCCCCTCAACCGCCCCAATTCCCCTTCTCTTCTTCCTCAGCCTCACCCCTCACCCACCCCCCCTACAGGGGATAAGCCGGGCTTGCCGGAGGCCAAGCACCGGACCTTCGGTAACCCCCCTAGCTACGCAAAGTGCGTAGGGCCCATTCCCGACCGGCCCAGGCGCTGCCAGCCAGCTGCGTAATGGCTTCCTGAATCTGCCTCTTCCGCCGGGGTGTGCGGAGATCCGCCCACTTCCCCTCGTCCCGCCTCCCAGCGCTTCTCCAGGCGAGTCCGCCCTCCCAATTGGGCGCCGCTCAAATATCACGTCGATCACTGGTTCTTTTGATCTGTCGCTCAGCTAAAGATCTCGCCTGCTTGCTGGAATTGACCTGATCATTGGTCTAAAAGTGTGTCTATCGCTACAGAACGCTCCGCCCATCTAACCTTGATTCACTTTAATTGGAAAATCGTTCTGTCTTTCAATCATCAGTATTACGACTATTACGCTGTTAAATTCAGCTATTTTATTGGTGGTTTAGGGAGTTAGATTATCAAAATCCGGCCTCTTATGGATACCTGGTGCTTTCGACCTTGAGCTGTTGGCCAATTTTTAATTCCACGGGCGCAAACTCTGCTTTGCAGCCGCAGTTCACAACTGCTCCTCACACAAATCCTATTTCCCACCGGAGACTACGATCTCTCCGTAGGCGACCGCTCCTCCCATCCTTATGATTTCGGAGTCCAAACCGCGTTGCTGTATGGAAACAGGACACGGGGCCTTCTGCCTGCCAATCACATGACCTCTGCCTATCGCGGAGTGATTTCCTCTCCCCGACCGGCTCAGCCAATCCCCGCCTCCCTCAGTTTAAATCGGCCCCAGGCTGAGCCGGGATCGCCCCGCCCTCTCCATTGATCCGGGTAGTCCTGGGCGGTGTGGGCAGTCCTTGGGGAGGCTCCGCCCCTCCCGTGTCGCCGTCCGGACTTATGATTGGCTGGTGGCGCGCCTGAAGGCGTGGCCAGGGAGGCGGTGCGCGGCGGGGCGGGGCTCCCGGAAGCGGCCCCTCCTGCCAGCTTGCCGGCACCTCGGAGCCCGCGCTCGCTGTCTCGGGACACCGGCGTGTCTTCGCGCTCTCCCCGCCGGCCCGCAGCCCCCGTCCGCGCCCGGCGCCCCTGCTTCGCGCCCGATGGTGAGCAGTGTGTTGTGCCGCTGCGTGGCTTCCCCGCCGCCAGACGCCGCCGCCGCCGCCTCGTCGTCCGCCTCGTCGCCGGCGTCAGTGGACCCGTGCGGCGGTGCCGTCTGCGGGGGCCCGGACCACCGGCTGCGCTTGTGGAGCCTCTTCCAGACGCTCGACGTCAACCGCGACGGCGGCCTGTGTGTCAACGACCTCGCCGTGGGGCTGCGGCGCCTGGGACTGCATCGCACCGAGGGCGAGCTCCAGGTAGGGGACGCGCACCGTCCGCAGCTGCGGGGAGGGAGCCCCTTCACGCCCCGGCACCTCCGGGAAGTCCGGGTGACAGGTCTGAGCGGCCCGGCCTCTTGGGCAGCCCCTTGGAGCTTGGCAGGCCTGGTGGACGGCTTCTTGGGCTGGGTGGAACCCGCTGAGTGAGAGGTGGACACCCCATTTATGCCGTGGTGGGAGTGGAGCTCCTCCTTGATCTCCATGGGCGCTTGGGCCAGGGGGAAAGGCTCTTCCTTGGGCACCTACTGGGCTTTCTGATGGGCAGAAAAGCCCCTTCCTGCTCGGTCTTGCACCGGAGTAGAGGCCAGGTCTCAGGAGTCCGCTTTTCCTCACTGCCTGACCTCAAGGCTAAGCTTGATGCCCCCTGGCCCCCTACCCAGCATTGATGGGTTCATCCATCCTCCTCCAGCGGCACCCCTCCCTTCCTCTCTCATTTCCATGCCAACCGTGGGCCCCGATCTGGTTCCTGTCAGAAGCATGTGGGAGTTGAAAAAAATGGGAGAATGGCCATCTATGGGCCTGCCAGAAGGAGAAGCGCTGTCCTTTCAGTCTGAGAACCTCCAGCAGAGGCCGTTTCTTCCCATTCTGTCTCTCATGGTAGGTTTTTCCGTCTGACTTTGTGGCCATAGCTAGCCTTTCCCAGGTATTTCATTTATTGTGGCTTAGCCTGATTTACAACCTGGAGGAGGTCTCCCAGGTACTTTACCCAGTAACCTGTTTCTCTTCTAAGTTAGTTCCTTTGGTCCATTGGTGCGCACCACAATTAGAGAATCTCTCAGAGCCAAGTATGAAAAAAATCTGGTAAAACGCCAGTGAATTAAACCAATTTGTGGGTCAGGTGGGTGTACATAAGGTGTTTTTAACTCATGTCCAAGATATCTTGGACCAACATCCAAGGTATTTTTACCTACTTAGGATCAGCCTAGGAAGACCAAGGGTAACACCATACAAGATAGAATCATTGCATTAAGTCCAAGAGGTTTAGAGACAAGTTTGAAAAAAAGTTTTTAAGTGAGTTTTATATGAAATGGCATTGTGAGCTGGATATTTTCTCAAACGTATCTGATGAATAAGTCACTTGGAAAGATAGGGTGGCTGAACTCAGAGAGTCTGTGCCTTATGGGCTCAGGGAGGTGTGGGCCCAGGTGACCCTTTCTGCTTTCATAAACCTGCCCACTTGGCATATGCTGCCAGGCGCATCGAGGGCATCTGGCTGCAGGAGTGTATTTGATATTTGCACCTTGCTTTGTGCCTCAACTAGAGTCACAATGTTTTTACGATTCATGAACATCTGATATTGATCCTAATCCATTGTTTTGGCAGTAAATTTCTAAGGGCAAATAAGGAGAAAGTGATTTTTCTTTCTAGTGTTGAAAGAAAACCTTTTTTATTAACTAAAGGGACACTAGCCTCTTGGGGTCACATTGGCTCTAAAATCTTTGACTCTGTGACTGATCTAAGTCCTATGATATGGAACAATTATTTTTTATTCTTTTAATGTGTAGATTTAGTATGGACTCTTTCAGCTTTTGAATAAGTGAAATTGTTATACAGCTTTCCGAAAGATGGGAATGATTCATTTTATTCACTTATCACCTGTAGAGGAGCACAGTTAGTCCTGTGGTGAATGGTTTAAGCATTAGAGAGAGAATCTTCCTTTTTTTAAATAACTGGGCAACAGGAAGACACCCTGCCTCATAAGCCCCCATACCACATCCTGTTGAAATACTATCAGTATTAGCGGCACACAGAAAAAGTAGTGCTGCCGTTTTGTTTTGTAGAAGTAGCAAAGCCAAAAGAGAATGTGAGGGCCCTTCGGTTCCAAATGGGTTCTCTGCCATGGGGATAGGCATTGAAAAACACAACATCCAACTTCGACAGCTGCTTTGTATGACCTGTAGGACCAATCTGAGACACTAGGGTTTGCGCAGGAATCAGCTTTGGGTGTTTATCAGTGGGTGTTGGGTGAACTCAGGCCTTGTGACTCCACAAAGCCTCTTGCTAGCTTACAACAGCTCGGGTCAAGTTTTTTTAAGAAATGAACCAGCAATTTTCGGCATGTGCCTTGGTTTCGGAAGAAATTGGGACAGTCGAGGAAAAGTTACTTAAAATGGAAGTGGGCAGAGAAACCGATGGCAGCCAGCCAGGGAAATTTTCTTTGTAAGGGGCGTGTGAGCAAGAAGCCTGTCATGGAACAGAAAAAGGGAAGGGTGTTTAAAGAAAGCAAAAAGATGACGGCAACGGTAGTGACTTCGGGAGATGAGACTTCAGCTGGAGCTAATTATAGCACTGCCTATTTAAGGCATTTTCATGTGACCAAACAAAATCTTTGTCTTAAAACATAGGTTAGAACTCAGGCAGCCAGTTAGAGGAAGAACTCAAGCTGTGTTACATATAAACAGTTGTCGCTTTAGCAGAGCCTTGTGAGGCTCTCCTAAGGGGCTGGTGTTTAATGCAGGCGAGGATTCTAGAAGATGGTGTGGTTGAGTTTGCTGACTTAGAGACTTGCATACGCACCATCTAGTTTGAGCTTCACAGTAACTTGGTGAAGTAGGCAAGACAGTGATTTCACCCCATTTTACAGAGCAAGGAACAGAGGTTCAAAAAGACTGTAAAACAACCTCAAAACTCATTTGACCACTGAGGAATTAGACCAGAGAAGGAACCGGAACCATCTGCTGATTCCTGCTCCACTCCCCTTGAACTATACTGGTTGTTTCTGAGGGACATGAAGAGAGTTCCCACCTGGGCTTTTGGGAGAACTTGAGAAAGATGAGAGATCCATTTAAAACCACATCTGTTATTCCCAAAATAGGTTTCAAGATTATCCAGAGATTATCCTGTCCAAGATTGCAAGTCTGCCCTGCCCTAATTCTCTCCTTGACCTGAGCAGTGTACATGAGGCAATCTCTTTTGACTTGAAATAATTGAATGAAAGATCATTAATGTCAAGTTGGTATTGCTTAATCAGACAGTACTGTTGAACTCTATACCTTTCAATGTTTGGCCATTTGTGGGGAAGGTTTACCAAAATAGCTGGACTTAGATAAGATAATCTACAGAAAAAAGAGCCTTTTTCATAGAAAAGGGGTAGACATCATTGGGTATAATATAATAACCATTAGAAAAAGAAAAATGCTATATGCAGATTTGAGTTCGTATATTAAACTGATTGTGTTACATTGTTGCAAAATTGGTTCCTGGCTCGAAGTAATTATCATCAAGTCAACTAGAATATTTAAAAAAAAATTAATTGATATTTAGAAAGGTGAAGTCAGGTACCCTAATCTAAGACCAAGTAATAAATAAGAATATACCAGAGGGGGCCTGATCTAGAGCTTCAGTTGGGTGAATTCGTTTGATGTTCAAAGAGTCATCAATTGTTGAAGTCTTCGGAAACCACAGGGCAATGGAGAAACAAATATTTTGCTGGTATTCATTTCTAGTCCAGCTGAGTACAGCTACTAGATGAATCCAGTGAACAAAACTGTACTTACAAAGGACTAGTCTCATTACACTAAATCTGAGCAGACTTTTCGTTTTTAACCATTTCTTCTTATATTAATGTGAATTTGGAACCAAAGAATTTAGTCTTAGAAGGATCACCAGCCATCATAGGCCAGCCTCCCACCCGTGTGGGGAGTATTCCTCCTAGGGCATCCTTCATGGATGGCCATCCAGCCCATTCCATTGTGCACCTACTCAGGGTCATTGTGAGTTCTTTCTTATGTCAGACTGAAGTCCGTTTGCTTGTGTCTGCTACCCATTTGCCCCAAGTTTACCTTCAGGAGCAACACAGAGAAGAGATCCAAGGGCCCTTTAAGTATGTGAAAACAGCAGTCTTATCTTCCCATAATCTCTGCTGCTGCTGGAAACTGTAGGTTTCATCATGCACTTCTCACGTGATATGCTGTCCGAACCTTTCACGTACCCTCATCTGGGGCAGTGTACCATGAGAGTAAGAGTACAGCGTTTCCTTGGAAACATTACACTACATGAAAGAAGCCAGTCACAATAGGCCATATGTTATATGATCCATTTATATGAATCTCCAGAATAGGGAAAACTGTAGAGACAGAAAGTAGTTTAGTGGTTGCCTAGGCCTGGGAGGGAAGGGGAACAGAAAGATGGGAGGGTGATAACTAAGGGGTTTCTTTTTGAGGTGATGAAAATGTTCTAAAATTGACCATGGAGATGGTTGCACATATCTGTGAATATACTAAAAACCAGTGAATTGTACACTTCAATGGGTGATTTGTATGGTATGTAGATTTTAT